GTGTGTGTATGCATGCGTGTGTGTGTGTGTGTGTATGCATGTGTATGTATGTGTATGCATGCATGTATGAGTGCTTGCATGCATGCATGTGTGTGTGTGCGTCTGTGCATGCATATATGTGTGTGTGTGTGTGTGTGCATGCATATGTGTGTGTGTATGCATGTATGCGTGTGTGTGTGTATGCATGTATGCGTATGCATCTGTGCATGCATATGTGTGTGTGTGTGTGTGTGTGTGTGTGCATGCATATGTGTGTGTGTATGCATGTATGCGTGTGTGTGTGTATGCATGTATGCGTATGCATCTGTGCATGCATATGTGTGTGTGTGTGTGTGTGTGTGTGTGAGTGTGTATGCATCTGTGCATGCATATGTATGTGTATGCATGCATGCATGCATGCATATATGTGTGTGTGTGTGTGTGTGTATGCGTATGCATCTGTGCATGCATGTATGCGTGTGTGTATGCATGTATGCATCTGTGTGTGTGTGTGTATGCATCTGTGCATGCATGTGTATGTATGTGTATGTATGTGTATGCATGCATATGTGTGTGTGTGCGCGAGATGCATGTGTGTATGTGTGCGTGCATGTGTGCTCTGGGTTGTGTGGGTGGGGTAAACACTATGGGACACAAAAGAACAGGGAGAAATTTTACTTATATTTTCCACTTGAGATTAACATCAGAATCTGCTCAGAAAAGACTTTCCATCTGCTGGAACAGAGACAGAGAGAGAGAGACAGACAGGAGGAGAGAGAGAGAGAGAGAGAGAGAGAGAGAGAGAGAGAGAGAGAGAGGACTGTGGGTCTCTTTCTGTGTGCCCTCCCAGAGAGAGAGAGAGAGAGAGAGAGAGACAGACAGGAGAAGAATAAGAGCACATGTAACAGTAACAGCACTATTTTTATCAGATCACACTGAGTGTATTCAGACCTTCAAAAACACACACACACACACACACACACACACACACACACACACACACACACACACACACACACACACACACA